ATCCATTGTTTCCAACCACTCTGTATCAAATATTTATGTTATTCATTATTAAACTCATTAGACTACATAGTTGAAATTACTTTTAATAATTTAGTACATTTATTATAGGATAACTATATTTTTAATAGAGTAAATAACGTTAATTAAATTTTAATGTTTAATCAATTTTAATTGTCAATTAAAATTAATCATGTTTGTAACTAAAGGGACAATGTTATAAAAATATATTAATATGTGTAGATCTGTTTACAGACATTTGTAAAAGTATTGAATTAATCAATTAACTAAAAATAACAGTTTGTGAAACTATAGAATCTAGTTATTCAGTCAGATATCAGATTATAATTAATGTTTTATTTAATTAATTATACCTTAATATTAAAGTTCTTTCCATTAAATCAATGATATTTTATACCAATATTTCTTAATCTTTATTTGAAATCTCATTATAAACAACTTCTTAACTTTTATAACTTATATGATTAGTTTGCAATGTATTTAGTTTACCAATTATACATTATGGTGAAGTTGCGATTTTATTTTTAAAAATGATAAATTATGCGATAGAAATGGTATGAACTGCAGTGAAGTGTCATTCTGGGCGATATGTTTACGCAAAACATGATAAATTAAAAAGTAATTTTGAAGTTTTAGTCTTGAAATATTAGTTATATTTAATGTCAACAAAACGTGTAATTCAAACATTTAATGTGATATCAATGTTTGAAATTCAGAAAAATAAAGATATTTTAATAAAAATAAAAATTTTAAGCTCTTTTCAATTGGTTCTAACGCTTAGTTTTTGGATAACAAGGAATTGTAAGTAAATAATTGGTTTGTATTGAATGTATTACTCTATTTGATTAAATGATAAATTGTAAGAGAAGTGAACGACTTCTTCATTGAGTGAATACCACTATTTGTGCGAAAGAATTGAAAAGACATTTTGAGAGATCGTAACAACACTTACAGTAGTTTTAGTTGTGATGTATGTGTTAGGGATGACAACGAGAATGATTTAATCTCATTGTATTCCAGATATCTATACATAGAGTATATACAAAATGTATGTGAAAATCAAACAAAAAAGAAACTGTTAAATAAGATTAGTTAACAACACGTCTCACACTTTCCTATAAAAAGAGATCATTTTATACATACAATAGTGTTTGACAAAAGTTATGCCAACCATTCGGTTCATTAAACCATTAATTCTAATGTATTTGCAGACCTCTCGACAACAATAACATTATAGACATTATAGACATCATATACTATACAATAGATCTTTGTTTTATTAAATCCAATCGCTGGACATTAAACCCTTTTCCTGGTTTCAGATATGCATTTACAAAACTACAAATATTTTAGTAAATTATATCGACTATTTTGTTGTACACGTGTTGACTAATTATTCATAATAATTACTTATCTAACGGAATGCTTTGTTTAATTAATTTTAATCATTAAATGTTTAATACTTACAGAGTTTTCAATTGGTTGAGACCCTGAAAGTAATGGCTTTCAATCACACGAAGTCTATTATATTTAAGTGATCTATTGATTCATATGGAAAGAAATAGTCAATTGATGTCAACATTTTTGTGCTGAAAATTCTTACAAAGTTTTGAGATTCTTGAGACGACTAAAAGTATTGACTTGTATTTCACTGATATTATTGTAGTCCAGATATAGAGACGATAATTGTGAGTATTGCCAAAGTATTGTGACATTTATATGAGTTATTGTGTTGTTGTTAAGCACTCTATTAACGAGAGTATAAAAAACATGCTTTCATTTGAATGACGATAATCTTAATAATTTTATTTTAGATTAATTACATAATAACAAGAATAATAAATATGTTTTTGTATATTTTTGCGAATATTACTTACAATTTAGTGATATTTGTATTAAGATTATCGGGAATTTGTGTTAGACTACTGTTTTCACAAAACACAATCCTATCAGCGATTAGATTACAACTGCATTCGCCTTTGAAGTACATCTCAATCGCTGTTTAAATACAGACAAAATATTGGATTACCAAATAAAATGTATACATTAATATCTTATAATCTAATCTATAATCAATTTTATAATAGAAATGATTAAACCATTTTATTTATGTATTGCAAATAAAAACAAATTCGTAAAAATAAAGCAGAAAAACCTATTAATAGAATAATTATATGCTTTGAATTCTTAATAAATACTTATCTGAAACAATAATTTAAAGGAAAGAAAAATATAACTGAAATTTTAAATGAAACGATTGAATACATACTGCAGTGTTTGGGCGCATATTCTTGCGTTAATTTTGTACCATTTTTGAGCTTTTCGTGAATTATAGCAAACGCTCCCCCAATACGACCGGAATCGTCAACTTTTTTATTAAATAAACACTCATTATATTCATCTCTCGATTAAATCCCATTTATATAATTCATTTAATTAATTAATTTAATTGATATTTGAAAAACAAGACAAAAATATTATTTTGAAAACTTTAAGTAAATAATAAATTTAATTAAATTCACAAATTGAAATTAAAAATATATTTTGACTGAAATTTTTAGAAATATACTGAAATAAACATAAAGTAAATACAATTTTTAAATAATTTCAATAATTGTTTGCATAATCTCTCTATTTATAAATATGTAAAACAAGAAATTAAAGAAAGCGATAAATAACTAATTAAAAAGTGGCGATAAATATGAGTATATAAGTAATTAAAAATGCATTTATACCGCAATAGCTTTCGTCTTCACCATTTGGGCAATCATTCTCTCCATTGCAATGAAGGACTCGTTGCAAACAAATCACTTCATCGGTTCCATTGATGAACGAAGCATTACAAGGGAGGTGTTCCAGAGGACAGATGTCATCTAATCAACAAATCAATTCATATTAAAGCACTACATGTTATATTCAATATACTTTTCAATATTTCATTTTATATTAATTTCTCAATTTAATGAAACCATAAATTAATTAATTAAATTTCATATTTTAATACATAAATAAAATTCATCAAAAATTCAAATTCAAACTTTCCCTTTCAATATATCTAATCAAAAATTGATAAAAATGCACAAAATATATTATAATAAAGCCTTTTGATTACCGTATATCTCAGATTGACTTAAAATAAATTTAATAAAAGCACAAAATTAATCAATAATCAAATCTATTAAACATTGCATTATAGGCTACTATAGTATGGAGTATTAATATAAGATTATTTTATCAAATATAATATAACAAGAATTTAATTCATGTATAGTTAGATTCAAGAATAACATATAAAACATACTAATAATAACATCAATACATCTTATATTTGATGCTAAAATGAAATTTTTTAAAAATTGTAATTTAATTCAACGCCAAATGATAAACAAATCAATATTTTTATTTTGACAAAAAAAACTTTCGAATACAACATAAATAATACACGAATATAAGTGAATTACATTTACATTCCTACAAATATACCAAAAGTTATGAATCAAATAAAATGAGTTAAAAAAATAATTTTTTATATTTACAAATCGGAAACTATAGAAATCTTTACCCTAAAGATTGGAATATTAAAAAATGCAATATATTTCACTTAATATATGATTTTTGGTATCAATCTTACAAATAATGACAACATTTTTCAAATAAAATGTTATTTTATATCAATTCAATTTATTTACATAATTATTACTTTCCGATAATTGTTTAATTTAATGAATAAATATTGTAATATTAAAAATGATACGTTTTCAAAATCACCTAGAAATCTTTGATAATTATTTTTTAAAAATACTTAAATACAATTAATAACTAGATTAATAACGTCTGTGTAGATACTTAAAAATTATAGTGTATATTCTTAATAAAAATATTTCCTTATCAATTTAACATTTATATTTCAACAATATTTCAACAATATTTCAACATATAATAAATTATTAATATTATGTTCATAAATATGATCACTTGTCATCTTTATTATTTATAAAACAAACCCAAACTCTTGTCTATTTGTCTATAACTATAAATAAATTCATTTCTTAAATTACAACAAAGAATAGACTATTATTTACATAATTAAGCAATAATTGTATATAATTTGTATGCAATTACGCAAAATTAAAACAATTGTTTATAAAGTGTAAAATTAATAAAATAATGTATTGAAAAATTATACACTATTTATGTAAAATATTTTTAACGAAAATATTTCACAAGGGAAAAAATATTCTAAACTTAAACTATTAATTTGTTAACAAAATAATTTAGCAACTTGTAATTTATTTTTCAAAAAATAAATCATATGTGATTAGCACATGAAAGGCAAACCATTTGTATCTTTCATAAACCCATTTCATAGTGTGTTGTATTCTATATTAGAATCTATTAGTGATTAACTGTTGAGTCAATAATTTGTTAAACATATTGAGTGTTGAGTTGCAAACTACAGGTAAATGGGATAAACATCTGAACGAATTGAAAGTAAGATTTAGTAAATTTATTACAATTAAATTCTACCGATATTTATACCAAATTAAAGCTTATATATTGAAGAATAAAATTAAAGAAAAA